ACAAACATTGAATGTTTGTTAAGTGAGTTTTTAACATTCATATCATTATTGCATAGATTTTATAGTTAATTTAAATGAAAGATAGACTTTGACTACAACCAACTAAATATCATGAGAACAAACTAAAAGGTTTCAGCACCTCCAAGTCTTTCCACAGGAATTTGTTGGACGCTTTGCCAAGGTGACCTTTAAAGTCACTTATCATAACCTGAGCTTCTGTTTGTATGCTAGTGCAGTTTTATAGGACGTCAGAATGGAGATTGACCAAACTGGCTAAATCTCATTTTACTTATGAGATTAACAATATATTTCTTCTTACCTTACAATAAGACCAAACTCATCCCTTATCGTAAACTAGGTATGTGTTCTGGTGAGGTATGAGGTATTATATTAATACTTAGACCAAGCTTTGGGGCTTATAAAAAATTAAACATATTTAAGTAACAGCAAACCACTTTAGCTGATCAATCTTCAGGCTTTCATAGCAAGCTTCCTATAATAAACATGAAGACGAGTCTCTAAACTTTGTTACAAATGCATTTTATTTGATTTGAATATGATTTTGCACAGTTGGAAATATATATATATGTGTGTGTGTGTGTGGACACACACACACACACACACACACACACACACCCTCACATTCATTAAGATGGTCGAAGCCCTTTTCATTTTTCCAGAGTAGAAAACACAATTTCTCTCAGAAGAATTGCTATTTGAAATCATTTTTCATTTTTTTCTTAACTACAATGAAATATTGTAAAGGGTTGTTCTAGAACTTTATATTTTAGGTAATTTTCATCATTGCAGAAATCATAAGTTATGAATGATGAGCCTTATGAGATTTGTGTATTTTATATAACATATACTGTTGGATATTGTGAAGTTTTTTTCATTATGTCTATGAATAAGAATAATGTCTTAAAATCACTCAAATTTGAGAAAAGAAGAATGGCTGTGTAAAAAAGTTTCATCTTCTTTTTGCAAAATTCATTTTTGTTTTCTTTATTTACATATATAACCCATCAAGAACAAGGAAAAGAGAAACTGTTAGGTCTTAAAGAGCATGTACATCCTTAAATAGATGAGATTATTTATCATTAAAATAGTCATAATTGGAAGGGGAATGTTACTGATGTGGTATTGAATCTCTGCATCAGTACAGAAAAGCTTGGAGTATCCTTCAACCTGTGACCTCGACAGACCGGAGGCCATAGACTTTGACGCGTGCAAATCCCACACTTAGGTCTATATGAAAATTGATTTCCATACTCTTCTTGTTATCAAAGACAGCAAGGTAGAAGTCTTCAAGTCAGACTGACTGAAAACCATTCCCATTACCTTAAAAAGAGGTTACTGTTCACTTTCTAGGTTGTTTTTTTTTTTTTTTTATTACTGGGGTCAATGAATAGTTCATTCTTGGCTTTTCCATCAGTCTTCCGAGAGGAATTTTTGTGTTTGTGGTTTGCCTGGTGATTGCAAGTACAACCTTTACCCTCTCTGAACTTTCACCTTTTTTCTCAGAAGTTTCAGAAGCATTTTTACTTTCCACAAAAATGCCACAATATCCCCATTACAAGGGTTTGATAGGTGTAGAGTATAAAAACAATTGACTATAGCATATTGTATTAGAACTTTTAAAGAGACTCAATTCTTAACTTTTGACTTTCATCCATTGCTTGCTTCTCTAAAGTGTAGGTAACTTTCCCTTTTTAATTTCTACTTTTTGATTTTCACTCCATAATTATAGATAGGAATTTTAAAAAATAATTTATATGAGATTTGAGTAACTTTATAAAACTCAAAAATAATTCCCCTGCAGCAGCCAGCTTCTTGGAGTGCCACTGTATTTTCTGGGGAAATGGCACTGTTTATGTGGCTTTCTTCCCCATAAATTTGGGTGGTTGTTGTAATTAGCTCATGAAAAACAGAGAGAGAGAGAGAGAGAGAGAGAGAGAGAGAGAGAGAGAGAGAGAAGAAATCTCTACATTTCCTGTGTCATTTGTTTTGTTCTGAAGACTGATCCATTTGTGGGTGTTCTTGCCTGTAAAGTACATAAAAGTCAGGATAAAAATGAGCTGGATGAAAATGAGCTGGGCAGGATGAGACCTATAGCCACCCTTGTGTAGAGAAACACTGCATTATAAGAGTGATTAGTATAATTTTCTTATTTTGCAGAGAAAACCTATGGATCTCATCAGAATTTGAAATAGTCATGGAATTATTTTATTATAAAGAATATAGAAGTACTTTTACTGAAGATCTGTATTCACTATGGTTTCCAAAGTATATGTATCTTTTTGCTTTGCAAGTCATAAGAAAAATACTTAAAATATAAGACCCCTATTTTTGTTTTGGTGCATGTGTAACAGCAAATTTAAAAATATTTTTTAATACTTTATAAGCAAAAGAATAGATATCTTCAGACTGTTAAAGTAATTTTACTAAAAATAGCCACACTGAAACATAATAATAAAACACTAAAAGGACAACTTAATCACAATACTTTCCATTCATCTTACCAGTTCTCTTTAAATTAATTATAATTTTACTCAGTAAGAAGATAAATAGACTTTCAGTTGTTTAGCTGATCTTTTAAATTTTGAATGGCTTTTTCTTCCTTCAATATGAAAGATAGGTTAGTTATTTTAAGGACAATAAAAGAAAATGGACCAAATTTTCAACTTTCACAGAAGATCATCTAGGTCCTTCGTAAAAAGGCATAGAAACACTTATATATTTTAAAGCATAAGTCTACTTCCTGGTTAACGATGTTTGTTTACGACATTAGAATTCATTATTTCCATAATATGCACTAACCATTAGCAAGCTATTGATGCAGAGAGTTACTATCAGCATTTATGGTTGACCAATGTTGGAATCTAAAATAACTTGCTAGATATACTATTAATTTGTATGTAAAAGAGCTGACAAGTATACACTAATTTCTGTGGGACTGATGGGATGTTATCATTCTTTCTTACATAATTTAGGAAACTGCAGGAAAAAAAGAAAGATTCCTCAGAAAACACAAAGTTACTTTTGTAAGAAGGTTAGGAAATGTTTCCCAGTTGATGAGGAGAGTCAGTTTTCTCTTTTTGAACTTCAAAGTCGTCCCTGAACACAGTTTTCTTTGTATCTACATCTTAAAAAAAAGTTCCTGACATGAGTAGAAAATTAATAATTCTGATGCTATAGGAGTTCCTTTTCTTTAAAAATGTTATATTATTAAGTTGATTATTCTTCCACAAAAAACTAGGCCTTCTCTTGGGTTGGGGATTTTGCTCAGTGGCATAAGCACCTGCCTGGCAAGTACGAGGTCATGAGTTCAATCTCCAGTACAAAAAATAAAAATATGAATAAATAAATAAATAAAATTTCCTCCTTAAGAGGAAATATATATAGCTATCTAGTTACTATGGAAATCTTCATAAGATTTAAATATATAGCTATTATTTTTATAGTAATATACTTTCCAAAAGTGCTTTCTCTATGTAGTATCTGAATGGCTTCTAAATGATTATAACTTTAATGGGCAGTACAGCAGGTTTTGGTAGAACAGAAAGGCATTAAGGAAAAATGAAAGTAAGGATACGTTTCATTCAGTGATTGAACTCAAAAGGCATTAGGTGTGAAGGGTGTATAAATCATAGACTCAAATCCTGTTATCCCCATTATTTGTAAAAGCAACTATAAAATTTGTATTACTCACTAGAAGTCATCTTGGAAATAGAGGTATGTGGATTGGGGTGGGAGGTTAATCCATGGTCCATGTCATAAAATGTTGAATATAATTCTTTGATGATGGAAGTTACACACTTACATATGGAATCATCAGATAGCAATGTTGAAGTCAGTGTTGCTCTACTGAAATAATCTTGATGACCCTAGTGCAAGTGTGTAGTTTTCTGTCATGTATGCAAATAGAGTCTGTGAGATTTATTTGATAGGGCTGATGCTAATTTAATAGATTGGAAAAAGAGTTATTGTAAGTACCAAGTGATGGACACGGCTTGCGCTCCTCCTTCATGTGAGGCTGTGCTACCCTGTTTTAGTTTTCTACTTCCAGAAGTTAAACAGGAAAGTTGGACCCAAGATTTACAACAGGGAGCTAGCATCTGGGAAAGTGAATCAGTGAAAGCTAGGACATTACATTCTCAGTTTTAGTTTTCCAAAATTAACCTCAATATTTATTGCTTTCTTATTCCTTGGGATATAGTATCCTTAATTAAAAGTCTTAGTGAAAATTTACAAGGAGAGGAAACTATGGTGAAATAGTGCATTTTGCTTTGCATTATTTTGATAGAATTTGGTTATGGAAAAATCTGAAATTTAGGAAAAAATTTTCATACTTTCTATTTTAGTTGTATGATCTCTAGTTCCAATAAGATCTAGAGGAATCTGGAAGTTAACTGGTCGATAAAAATTGTATAATTATGTAAAATAGGTTAATGCAGTGGTGATCTTTTAGCTCATTATATACTCTGTAGTATGCAGCAAATTTGTTGAAAATTCAATGGTCAGTTTTTCTACATATTGTAGAAATGTATAATGTGTGTATATGGGGATCTTACCTGTATTTCCTAACCAAAGAACACAGTGCTTCCAATTTGTAAAAAATTCTGTTAAATTCTGAAGTTAAGCAGTTTAATTACTTGGAAGATTTATGCTAATTATATCTCTCGCAGGTAAAGCCTATGAAATTACATTGTTTAAGTAGCATCGTTTTTTTTTTTTTTCCGTTATCTTACATTCATCACCACTTGTTGCTAGATTGAGAATGTAGTTGTGCCTTTACGAAACACTTACCAGCATCAGCTCTAACACGCAGACTTCAGATCGCTGCTGTTTTTATTTTTCCCTAGCTACAGGTGCATGTTACAGCTTGCCATTGTGGTCATTGTGGTCCATCTCATTAAGCTTCTTGTTCTATCTGCTTGCTTGAGACTTGGGAAACAGTATTTTTCTGAGTGATTGTACCATGTTGTTCCAAATATAAGGCCTCCCAGAATAGAAGGCAACCTCCAACTAGAAACAGCTCAAATGTGGAGAAAGGCTGGGGGCCCAGAGCCCGGCGGGTCTGGCAGTGGTGGCAAGGGTGCCGAGGAATAGGACGATGCCTGCCCACTCTCCCGGTGAGTGAAGACAAGTAGCTGGCTCATTTGCTGTGCGTAACCAGATTGCTTCTGTTGCTAGAGGAAGAGTTTTGCTTGGGGGTACAGAATAAGTCCTGTCCGTGGGAAAGGTTTGCTACGTGTCTGAAACTGGGGAGGGAGGATGGGAGTAGAGTATGTCACCTCTTAAACTGTCTGTCTGCAGTGTTTTTTTCCTTCATTGGTGTGGGGGTGAACATTAAGCAGCCCCAAATGGAAAAAAAGGACTAAAGGTGGCTTGGGCCTCTCATGAAAAGACGTATAAGAGATCATTAACTGTGAAAATGAACTAACACCATCATAGGCCCCTAGGCCATCCTAGAAAATTCTTCTGGTCCTTTCCAATGCCTGCTGACTGAGAGGCAGTGCATATTCTGTGTATCTGCACTTTGTATCCATGTGTAGATTGAAAACAAACAAGTGGGGGTAGGAATCACATTTCCAGGTTTATTAAGGTTTTCTGTTTTTGAAATTCCCTTTCTTCTAAGCCAATCAAGTGCAATTTTAATAAATGGCCTTAAGCATTGAAATAATTCTCCAAGGCACTACTTAATATCATCTGCACACTGGCTTTTCATGCCTTAGACTATTTTAAAAAATAATTTAGTGACAATGTATTGGTCAAATGGTTTTATTTTACTAAGCACAGTGAAAGCTAACTTTTTTATTTTATAGTTCTAGGTGAGAGAGGATGAGGTGCTTGATTCTGATGTTACAATCTTAAAGACTGTTTAGCATGTTGTTGCTTTAAAAATTGCAAAACACACGAACCTTCATTTACTGATTGATTACTAGTCCATGATTCAAAACTAATTTGAAGGAGAACTTGAATCTTGGAAAAAAATGTCCCCCTTCTTCTGGTGGAATACTGTGTTTATTTTTTTTAACAGATAATGCCCATAACAGGACATTCTTGTGTTGGCACAGTGTTAAATGGTCCAGGACATTTAGTGTGAGAATGTTACTCTTAGCCTAGGATGCCCACACAAAAGCATACCAGTATTAATATGCCTCTTTTTTTGTGTGTATGTCAAATTTAGGAAAATTCTTTGAAATAGAAAAACTGTGCAGAAAAGTTTTGAAAAGATGAGCTGGCAGAAAGGCAACCCATTGTGAGAAGATATTGCCTGCCACATTAAAGTTCTCTAATCTAAGAACAGTGGCACCGTGATGGCGAGTGCTTCGTGGGAGGTGAAGTGAACTCTGGGTAACCTCAAAAGAGTTCCTGAGGCTGGTGCTCAGGAGAGAACAGCAGAGACTAGGCTTATTCAGGGAAGAAGGCTTCCCAGTGTAACTTCCTAGCTTTCAAACCATTTGACCTTTACTGAGGAAGATGCTGTCTAAAACCCCGGGGGTATGCGGGAGTGTGCCCCCTTAGCCAACTTTAAACTTCTAGTCTTTTCTCTTCTATTATTTGTATCAGGAATTACTAGGTCTGATTTGATTTGAATTATAAATACAGGTTAATAAATTTTATAATTTTATTTTCCAGAGGGAAAGTTTTATATTGACAGACCTGTTGCATCATCTGTTTAGCTGAATTGTTAGGGACAGACCTGTTATATTGCACATCTTCCTCTTTCTTTTGGCTAGAGAGAATGGGGGTGGAATCTGTTTAGTTGTACAACTTTTTGAGCAGGGAAAATAGTCTCAGTAGGTTTGCATGGAGATAAGGGCAGCCATCAAGGTCGTAGGAAGAAGTGACAGGGAAATGGAAAAATAGTTCAAACTGCATAAAGAAGAATCATTGTAAAAACCAGTGGCTGTTAACTTCTCTGTAAACATGTGCACAGAGCTCACAACTGTAACTGATGCAGTGTTAAACTTTTGTCTCCCTTCCCTAACATGTGCACGTGGGTAAGAGCTCTCCTGTGCAGATGGTGGAATTTAATGTCCCAAACCACTGTTGCCTCTCTTTTATGACATCATATAAGACACACCTAGAGTGGTTCCTACACAGGAGTTTTGATTGATGGAATCAACTTAAATGGAGCAATGATTAATCTATTAGACACGTAATATCAGTAGGTTTGTTGATCAACAAAAATTAATTTCTCATTTTCTCTGTGTAATGATCTGTTTAAAAATAGATTCTGAAAATTCCCATTCCTGCTTTTTCTAGGAGAGTAGGTAACTGCTCTCTTTCTTTTCTGATCCATTAGTTTTTCCTTGAGCACTATTTTTTTTAAGTGCAGAACCCTTGGGAGAAATTCCCAATCCTTATGCAGATAATGTGGCTTACACTGGACTAATTAATCATGCCCAGTACTGATTTCTAACCAATTGTATTGAAAAGTCACTTAAAACATGTAAGTTTGCATCTGTTTTGCGTCCCATTTTTTTAAAAAGCTGGAAAAGGAGGGAAATATTTGTTAAAGAAAATGTTGAATTTGGTAAAATCTCTTCTGAAAATCTTGTAGGTCTTTCCCTCAAAGAACGGTTTTATAGGACACACAGTTTCCCCAGTGCAAGAAAGCAATATACTTTATTTTCTGAGACATATGGAATGTGGCGTTTGACCTGCTGAGCAAGCGTGTTTAACTCAGCTGTGGAGTAGCTCATGAATTCCCTGCTCTTGAGTATCTTGAAGTTTCAAAAATCATTCTCGAAATGTTTTTTAATGGCTATTCCTTGGAGGGCATTGGTGTCTTTGGTGTATCAGAGATGATATCTGGACCTGTATGGGAATGCTTCTTGGTTAAATGTGCTTCAATTAACAGGTTGATAGCATTTTAGGATAGGCTAGAAAAAAGTAACAAAATGACTGATTCTCGCTTGGCAGTGAAATTGATTATTGAATGACATCTATATAGTTATAAAGGACGTTTGTTTTAGTAACAAAGTTGTTGATTTTCTACTAAGGGTTCTTTTAGGTTGTCATCAGGGGCTGATGGGAGTAACAGTTCACCCAGCTCTCCAGCTAGCTTCAGTGGACATACCACACCTTCTCAGCAGCCCGAACCCGTGGTACATTCTCTTAAGGTAACCAAACGTGTGCAACCATTTATCCAGAACTCTAGTCGTGTTGTGGCTTGTTTGCTGTAGTCTGGTAGTCCTCACAGTCTTCCTTTAACCATAGAAACTTTCTTTTTTTACCCCTTAGTGTAACTTTTAATCTTAATTTTTGAAGTATGATTTTCAGTTTTTAAGCCAACCGTGAGTCTGAGTGCTTATGGTTGAAATTCTTTTATCATTTTGGTTTGAGTAATGTGAATCATACCTATCTGCATCAAAGTTGAAGTCTGATGTGCATGTATATCCATGTGTGTAAAATATTGTTATAGCTATTATATGTGCAGTATTTGTAACATGGATGTCTTTTAATGTAAGGAGTTCATAATTTGTAAAAATGAAGGTTACCATATTTTTCCTTTTTTAATGCAATTGAAGTACACTGTGAAACCTATGAAAAGGAAGTATTGAAACAAACAATAATCTACTTTTTCATCTAATAAGTGAAAATTAGGTCTTCAAATCACAGTTAGAAAATAGATACATGCTTTTATACGTAAAACTTATTTTTTACCTATACTTCAAATTCTACAATACCTTTATAAAAATTGGGCAAAATTTATCATTTTTAAACAATAAGGGGCTTTCTAATAATCTAACTCATTTAGTGAGTACCAAAGTCAAATTAATATTTAATAATGTAAATATTTACCTAAGGAAGAATTGATACAGAAAATAAAAGTCATCTTAAAAATTTAACATTTTATCAATTTAACTATATTAAACATATAGTGACTATAGCTATAATTTCAAAGAAGTCTTGAATAACACTTTATAAACCAAAAAGTAGGTAGAGAGCTTCAGTTCTGTGTATACTGCATAAGTTTCCCAATGTTAGTTAAAATTGTTTCATCTTACAGTGATTTATCATCATCTTAAAGATACACATTGTTAGAGTAAGTCACCTTTTTCATGACATGCATAACAAATAAATGATAACATTAAAATATTTGCTTTTGTGATGATTTAGTTTTGCTTAAAGGTTTAGTCATCTCAGAATATTTTGCTTTATTTTGCCTAAAGCTGAGTCTGCTTTTTACACACATAAAATGATTGTGGATGAAAGGAGGTAGACCTATTGCTGGTAACCACGAGCAATGCACTTGGTATTTCCTGTCTTATCTGGTATAATTCACAAAGTGAACAGCTGACAGCAATTCATGGGAAGGCACAACCAGCATGAGGGGCACTGGCCTGCATGTAGTGGGTATTGACTTATTGCCTGAAGAACATTTTGCTCTCTGCTTTAGCATTTGGATGAATTTTAGAATGAACCAGTCACTAGCAATGCAAAGAGCTTTAGAAGTGGAAAAGGGCCCTGAGATTAATTCTACCTTTGTAGCATTATGGTGCCTGCACAAACTATAAGCAATGCTTTACCCCACTACTCGGAACTAAAAACTGTGTCAGCTTGTTGCTTTGTGATTTTGGATTCCATCAGCATCGTAGGTAACACCAAAAATTTCCCCTGATTTCTCCATGCTGCAGCTCTTAGTGTGGACTCAAAGGAAGGGAATGGCAAGGAAGAGCTCCTCAATTTTCTTTGGATTCTTTCTCTAGTTTTTATGTGAAATTTATCTCAAGAGAGGCAGCTATTATGTTATAATCAGAGGACATAAGTGTCCTTGTTTGGCAGATGGGTGATGCTGAACAACTGAAGCATCATTATTGGATAACTAGAGGCCCTTGAGTATAAAATATGTTTGCTTCCATGAGGTAACTATGTAATAAAACAGAAGTATGTGCAAACATAGTCTTTGGAAAGCCTTAAGAACTCAATATACAAAAACAGTGGCCGCTTGACATACTTTGAGATTTTCTATTCTAAAAAGAATAATTAGTACAATGGTCCTGTTTCTCTGTTTCTGATGGTTTCAGAAAATCTCACTTTTAATAAACTCTGTGGTTATACTTTGTAGGGGACTGTTGGATATCAATTAGTCCATGAGAAATTAGTCCATTTGTCATGACACCATATTTCTCTGACTGTAAAATTCAGGATTATTAGTCATTGGAGCTTCATTTCATTTAGTAGAAATTAGCTGATTTGAAGTATTCTTCTCTGAGCTATATTGAATCTGTAGGCAAATGAGCTTGTCCAAGGGGCTCCTTGCTTTCTATGATTATATATCAAACACAGTTAATGACTTCCCTAAGTATGTAAAAAGTGTGAATTTAGTATGCGGTGAGTTATCAGGACTTTGAAGAAGTGATATATATGGAGTAATAATTGCTGGGAGTTTCAGATTAACAAAATATAGTATGTAAGTTATATTACTTATTACAAGATTGAATTCTAGTTAGTCTCAGGTAGAATCTGTGAATTTGACATGACTTTCTACCTGTTCCTAGGTGCAAATTCTCAGGAGACACCTGTAGATGTGGCCATCAATATTGACCATGCCCAAATAGAACCAAATAGTTCAGCAATGTTACAGTACAGCATGGATTCTCTAAGAGCATTTAGGAAAAACAGTTTTTATGTTACCTTAATGCTTTGGTTTGTAAGTTGTTTTAAAGAAAAAATGATCAACGTTCAAAGCCAAAGTTTTGTTTTTTGTATCATAAAATGTATCCATATGAAAAGTTTGATGTTATCAAAGGAATAGTTCAACCCATTTAGGGATAATTCAGAGATGTGAAAACATAGGCCTATAAAATTGTTTAAAAGGATTTATTCACCAGACATTTCCCTAATGAAAAACAAAGTGTTGTTCAAATGCTTTCAGTGTAAGGAGCCAGTGTTTTTCTTTGATGCTATCTAAAAGCAATTGTCACATTGTTTTCTTAGGCACTAGGAACATAGATAGTCCTTAGGTGTATATTCTTTTTTACTTATGTTTTCTGGGGCTCTATCTAACATATCATTTGGGCTGTTTGTCATATAATTATATTGATCACTATTAAAATGGACCAAGAATTATAGACTGTCTCCAAATGATTCCCAGTATTAGGTTATCTTAGTGAACAAATTAAATGTATCTAATTATTTTAGACAGTGGATTCAACTGCTAATGATACAATGGGCTTCTTTTAATGATTATTTGAAATCAAATAGAATTTATTCTAGATAGGTTTCAATACAATAAACTACTTTTAAAAGATTTTTGCTGTATTCTAATCCATTCTTATAGGCAGACACAGAGAAAACTAAAGTTTTTTTAAAAATGAAGCTCCTTGATGGTTTTATCATAACTAACAAGTTTTTTTCTCTTTCCCTGTGTGAAATTTGCTTTTCTTTTTCAACAAATCCAGGTCTTGGATGTTCAGGAAACTATAGATCGTCAACAGGGTAAAGAGTATGAACATGACCTTAGTGAGACAGAAAAAGCTATAGTCAGAGAAATGTGCAATGTAAGTTTGATGTGCCTTGTTTTACATTCTGTGTTGAAAGCCTCATCATAGCTTAGTTACGACTTTATGACCTCCCTTTGAAAGTGCTGACCAAATGCCTTTTCTATATGAAAATAAAACAATTGCCCTTGTTTTTTGTGTTCAGTATATTTTATTGCAGGTTTATTAACCCACTAATCATGTTACAGAATATTAACGTCAGAGGCCTGGGGAGGTAACTCAGTATAATAGTGCTTGCCTAGCACGTGTGAGGTCCTCGATTCAATCTGTAGGACCATAAGAAGAAAAATCAGATGAAAATAAGTCAATTGTACTCCAGAATGATCAATGAACTTCTCTAACTTATTGTCTAAAAATATTGTTGCTAATTTTGATAAAATAAATGGGTTTTGTTTCTTATTTGTAAGGCATTATTTAAAATTAGTGTTTAAGAACCTATGATAAAAATACAAACCTTTCCAATTTATTTGTAACTAGTCTTAGAAAATATCACTGCCTTCCTAGGTTACATTTGCTTAGTTCTTCAAACATGTGTATGTTTCATGTCATGGAAAGAATTCTCTTGACTTTTCACTAGTTAGCATAACTCAGAGCATAGATGAGCTGAGACAGACAGGAAGCTAAGGGACAGTTAGATGAGCAAAAATCTATTCATGAAGTAGAACAAATTTTAAAAAATATTTTTATGACATTTCTAGTGTAATTATTAATGTGGTTCGGATTTTCACCAAATTTTAATTTTTGAATAATATGTTTGGGATAAGTTATTTCATTAAGAACACAATTTGTGAAACTTTAAAGAGCCAAATGGATTATAGAGGAAGCCATTTGTTAACCCCAAGAAAGTTTTAAGCATTGGTAATATTAAACACTGATTTTAATTGGCTGTGTATTATACTTTTATCTTCATATTATTTTCTCCATTAACTTACAAAATGTGGTTTTAGAAATACTCTTTAGGTTTAGGGCTATTAGGACCAGATACTCTCAAATCCTCTTTCACCTCCTCGAAATGTTTCTAGAATCCAGTAAATGTAACCTATGTTCATCAGCATTTTATATGTGCTGGGGTCGGGTTGGGGTTAGCCTCCTGCTTACCTGTGTTGTGGCCGCTTTTTTTTTGCAACCCTTGCCAAATTGTTTTCTTTCGTGCACATCTATTGTTGTCTGTTTTAAAGAGGTCACTAGTTTTAGATGTCACAATTATCTAGTTACACTATATTTCGTCTTCTGTAGCTTTTCAACTTGTGCTTAAGAGTTTCAACTCAAATGGTTCCCTTAGATCAATTTAAAACTTTGAGCCACATATGTAAAATATAATTTGGGAAACTTTGGAATGAGAAATAAATTTCAAATAATACAAAGTGAAGAGGTAAGAGGGATCACAGAGGCTACCCTCCATGGTCTCCAAAGAGAGTAAAGCTCCTTTGTTATTGTATGTCTGACTTTTAATGTCTTATAGCAAGAGATTTAGATATGAACCAAATCTCATATTTTGTATGAGAACCCAACACTCACATTTTGTTTTAAAGAATTAAAATCCAGAAATGAAGCAATTTGTTCAACCTGTTTTCTAATAAACAAGGAGGTCAAGAATAAACCTAGACCTTTGAGAATAAGATTTTTTTTCTAGTTTTTCAACTGAAATAAATCTTTGTAATTTCAAAATCTTTCCTAAAGCATGAAAATCACCCTGTCTTATGGATACAGCTCCAAGTCTCCATTGTATTTAATGTCAGAGTTTCTGTAAAGAAATGCCAGAATTAGGTCTTGCCCTCCCCTTCTGCCTTTTCTCTTTCTTCCTTTTTCATGAAAGAACTGTTTTTATAAAATTCATTCCTGTAGTCTCAAAAGAAACCCACTACTGTATTGGATATTGATTAGGTTTTTGTTGGCATTTTTGTCTGCCTATATTTTCAAAAACGTTTTAAAAAGCACCATGTGGTGTTGGTTTTTTTAAAATTATTATTGTTATACAGGATAATTTGGGAAAACCAAAAACTTTATCTTCCTGTTTACTTTTAAAAGATTCCTAAGATTTCTTTTGCTTTTGATTTCTAGATTTTGAGAAAAAAAATGCACACCAGCGTACATCTGCTTATAAGAATTCATCTTTGAAAATAATGTAAAGTCAAAATAAATGTGTTGATTTAAAATAATATGGCTTCACCATTATAAATTAGCTAGCCATCAAAACCACATAATGAATGTTGGAAAATAAAGAAAGATGCAAATTGCAAGACACTTCATAGATAAGTAATTTCTTAGAAACTAGTGAAGCTCTCATTCCTATTGGAGGAACTGTCTGCTTTTATAATAGTGTCACAGAAACATAACACTCTGTCATAATGTGAGATCAGTTATAAGATTCGGATAGAACTTTGGGTAAAAGAAGTCTTTCCATACTTTTTTGGTATTTCTCATGGAGATAAATTATTGACATCTCTGTGGTGAAAACATTAGTATTCATGTTGGTTAGCACCATCATGTTGGTTAGTAAGCAGTCAGTCTCTTCTAGAGATAAGTATACTTCTCTGTGAGAATTAATAAATCTTTTTTGTAGTAATGCTTTTATTTTGGGATTGTCTGTTTAGCTCTTATAACAAATTTCCTGATAATGGTTGAAGTACTTACTGATCATTTCACTACAATCACAGCATACTTCTATTCTGTTGTGTAGTTGCTTAGTCACTACTCCTGTGTCCACCGTGGAAAGTGGTTTATTTCAGATTCTGCCTTCTAAAAGAGTTTTCTTTCACTACATTGTTGTACCTACATCACATTTGAATAATTGAAGAGAGGCATTGCTTTTGTGAGTTGAAACTGGCCAATGTTTTCGGGCTCTGATCCATCTGAGGCCTTCTGGTTTATCCTTTGTCTCCAAACGAGATACTCAGACATTCTGGAGAGACGTAATTATGCTTACATACTGGAAAGAGGACAGTCATAGTCGTTTCAGCTTCCTGATTCAGTGCTTGTATTTCTTTAGTCAATTTATTAAGAGACCTTCTTAACTTGATTGTGTTTAACTTGAGCTGTCTGTTGCTATGTAATTATTCCCTAAATATTTAAGGATGATAATTGCACCTCTCCTTGAATACAACAGGATATTTCTGCCATGTTTTGCTGTCTGCTGATAAAATAGACACTATTAATTCTTTTGGCCTAGAAATGAAAATAGACCTGAGTCTTGTATTCTTATGTATTACTATGAATGGTGTTGGGTTATGCTGGAGTTTCCACCTGTTTAAAAGGAAGAGAAAAGTTAAGCTGAGTGATTAATGAATGCTTTGGTTTTGTGTTCATATTAGAGCATTATAAATTGTTGTGGAATTTTTAGTCCTCCTAGTGAAACACTGTAGAAAGGTTATAGCTGTTGTCATGTGTGTGCATATTTCAATCATTGGTAGTATATTGTTACATCATTTGTGAATTCCAAGTTCTTCTTTTACACTTACATTATTCTCAATATCACCTTTTGCTAACATCTCCCTGAAGTAGCCTAGTTTTTAACAGATTGTAATTGTATCTCAAAGATTCTGAAATTTATTCTTATATTTTCCCCTACATTCAGATGCTTTCTTTTATAAATCTGAGAAAACTGTTTGTAGAAAAGACTTGTGACCACTGAGGGCCTCCCTATGCAGAGGTTTCCAGGAGAATTTATTAGTGGATTTAAGACTACCCGCTCAGGACTTAACTAAAGCCAAAAGCTCTTCATATTGCTAGGTAAATTAGACATTTCATGTATGATATAAAAACTGAAATACTCTTGCTAAAGGGCTCTTCATTCTGTGTTCACATTGGAATCACTTGGGGAGCTTTTTAAAAATGCCAATGCCAATGAAATTAGAATTTGTAAAGTGGAAAGTTAGTGTTTACCAATCCAAGTGCTTAGTGTGCAGCCAGGTTAGAGAAATAGGTAACTAGAGAGGGTTGGCACCTCATTTTGACCCTGGTTGCTACCAAGGTGTAGTAGTCCCATCTACAGAGTGGTTCTTTTGATTCAGAAGTTTGTTATTGTGTTTTATTTTGTGTCTGAATTCATTCATGTGGATATTTCGTCTCCTGTCTCTGTATCCCTCTTTACCCCGCTCATAGTTTCCCCTTAAAACTCACAAATCTTTTTCTGAAAAGAGGTCAAGTAAGATTGCTTACTCCTTATTTTTCTTTTATTTAAAAGGTTGTGTGGAGGAAACTTGGAGATGCTGCCGGTTCATGTCCTGGAATTAGGCAACATCTATCAGGAAACCAGTACAAAGGACCAATGTGAGAAGCATTGTTTTTCAAACATGAGATCCCTACTTCCAGAGAGAAATAAAAGAAAAAAAGAAGAAAAACTAAAGAGTGTGTTTCCACAAACCTGGACTCATGGAATAACATGGACTGTACATTGCACACATCTCCCCTCTAAAACCTTCTATAAATCAAGCTGAAACTCGTGTCTCATTTCAGTGTCCAAAACAGTTAATCTCAAATAAGGTAGCTCTAAATAATCACCATTTGGTGTTAATGAGTTCAGTAGAACTAAAGTGTTTTTAACTTCCCAGATCTAGGATTATAATTGGGAAATCTGCATGGTTGAAAGTGTCCATTAGCAATTCAGTGGTTTGATAGAGATGACTTGTTTCATATAGTGGTGGAAACTTTTTACCATGTAGCATTGAAGATACGAAGAAGTGATTTCCAGCTTCCCAGGGCTGAGAGTTGGGCACTTACCTCTTATACTTCTTTTAAGAATATATTAGTTTCTGAATAATAATTAATTGGGGTACGAGAGATACGGTTTCTGTACTTTTGTTTTGACTGAGCTTTTTGTTTTCTCTTTTAACTGAGTAGATTTCTAAATATGCTCCTGTGTGATGGTGCTAATAATAAGAAAACAAATAGTTAATTTTACCACATAATTTTATTACCAGCTAGAAGGGTAGCAAGACTTTGTATAGTATTTACCAGAGAGTACCATTTATTTCAGTTGATCAAAATAAGTATATATTTTCTTTAATCTTGATGAGTTGCTCAAAAGAAGAACATTTGGGGACATATCAACCACCATATTCATTCATTGTATCAATAAAAAAACAACTATAATTTCTCTGTTTAGAGCTGTGAGATGTTAATTTCTACAATTTAGTTTCTAGACATGCTGTATATTTAATAAACTTTATGTAAACTTTAAAATATTGCACTGCATTTATGATAAAAGCTTTCTTTGCCTCCTGCAGCTATTTAACGTTTTATGAAACTAACGCATGTCCTTCATTACTGAGATTAGAAGCTCTTGTTCAGATTGCTTGAGGTTTGAAAAAGAGGTGTGCTAGCTTTGCTTAGTTTTTTCCTTATTTCTGGTATATACATATAATATTAGAATGTGTGTATTGGAAATGCTATGATAGGTATTTTGTGTTTATCTAATGCAATGATAGTTTCTTGTATGAAAGTGCAAGAAGCCTGTGACAGAATGCTATGTTTTTACTGTAGCTTATTTTAAAAGTAGGGATGCAACAATTCCCAGTTTTCTGATGTCTTCTAAATTACTGAGGTTTGATTCACAGCAAATATTCCTTCTTGTTGTTCTTTTTAAAATGGGCTCATTACACAGCGTATTAATTGTCATTGGTGGAAGACTAAGAAAGTGTTTTGTTTTGCTTTTTAAAAATGTAACTGTAATAAAAAACCAGCCCTCTATTTTCAGAAAATATTTATGAATTAATTTACTATAGGGTTATCTCTAATTATATTGACTGGGTTAGAGTTTAAACCCCTGTTTCTTTTCAAATGTTATATTTTTAAATGTTGTTACTCTGTAAAAGAAAATTGCTTGCTATCTTTACACCTTTTCTCATAGGAGAGCTTTCGTCCTTAAATTGTTGTATTCCTACACTCTGATAATGTTTAAAACAAGTTTTGTGCCTGCAGCAGAGCCTGCAGAAGCTAATCCAAGGGACACTAGTCTTTGACAAAATACTTGTGTAAATTTTGATACTGTATTAAAACTATTTTTTTAAAGTTCCACATAAAACTGAGTATTAAGTATATGTGTTCATCTTAGCAATGGTAATAAATTATTTAATCTCACAGTCTGTTGTCTGCAAAGTGGTTTTTCTTAATTCGTAGATTTCTAATAGTCGCTAACTATGCTCCTGTGTGATGGTGCTAATAATATAGAAAATTCATTATCTTAAACATAAAACCATATTATAAATATGCTTACAAAGGTAGATGTGATATTCAGATTTCTCAATTCGCACTGTCTATTAAAATAAAGTTAAAATTTAAAGCTGATATTTAGTGATATTTAAGAATGTTTAAAAATTGGCTTCTATTGTACAATACTGTCTTTTAATTCACATAGATTAAAATTAAATTTAATTCAGTTGTCCAATTAAACCATTAATCATTGGAAGAAATATACTAGAGAAAAGCTCTAAGGAAATGGAAATTTTGGCTAGTATGTTTAAGAAGCTTTCCTATTACTGGGCAAAGGTAAAGATACACATATGACCAAGATAAATAGAAAAACACACACAGACATGTATCCACACTCAAAGATCACAGATACTGCTTGGAAATCACTACCAAAAATGAAGACAACTTCCTTCACTTAGTACTGGTTCAAACATGTAATGACAGAGTTTACAGATCAAAATGAGCTAATATCGCTGACTCAGTATTTGACTTTTTAGACTGCAAAAATCTTCATTTTTCTATAGTTCAACTTCATAGGATAAAGGATTTTTTTCCCCCTGTGGTGGAAACTAGACAGTTGAGGATAAATAGTATAGAAACTAAAAAAAGAGAGTCATCCCCTTATCCTGGAGTAGGCTAACTTCAGAGCAGCGTTGGATAAAACATGTTTGACTTTACTCAGGCAGGCTTGGAGCCTGCAAGTTCTGAATTTGTCTCCAGTTAGGTCTGTGGGTTTGAACTGTACTGAGCCTCGGTTTCCTCACATGGGGAATGGAAATAACGTCTGTATTACTGAATTGTAAGGTTCTTATGCCCATGTTAATTCTTGACAGTACAGGTCTATCAAAACATAGGATCCTAGATTCATGGACAGTAGCTACATGTATAATTACGTTAGGAGAGAAAAAAATCAAAGCTGAAACATTCATTTACTACTACATAAGAAATTCTGCCTACACAGTTGCATATTACCAACTTCTGTTTATCATGTATCATCCAGCATAGGTTAAGCTCTACCATGACTCACTGTGGATGATGATTGTGACAATGGAGTAAAGACCAATATTGATATGATTCTCATTCACTAATACTATGTTTAAAAATCTTTTACCACTGCTATTTTTAATTCTGTATTTTCATACAGCTGAAAAAACATGAAAATGAAGGTTACCATTTGAAATGGTAGAATGAATTCTGTGATAGCAGCTTTTTGCCTTGAACTTTAAAACTTTTTAAAAAGATATTTTAATAAGTAAGTCCCTAGTCCCACTAGGCCATAGAAGATATTCACTGGGTCAGTGATGATGGCAATTTCGTGACAGAAGGGAGACAAATACAACTGAATGAAGAATTGTCCCTTAATTCAAAGTACGCAATTTGGTGCACTGTAGGCTAAGATCAGTGGAAGAGTGCGCCAGGCGGGAAGGGTTGGTATGAGCACAGTGGTATCCCCAGGTAACTGACAATAGCCAGGCATTTCCTTCCTGTATAAGACTACTTCCTTCAGAGAACAGTAGAAATAGTTTCTCCCAGGCCAGAGTGGAAAATGAGAGTGTTTGGATTGGATAAAGACAGCACAGTATTCACAGTTGGTAATACCCACTGAAGAGAGAATTTTCTGCACCCATAATCCTAAGCTACTGGCACAATCTGCCTAGGAGTTTATCCTCTCTCCTTTATACTTAAAAAATAAATGTTATCTTCCAAGCCTAGCACTCTGTCCTCCTCCTCTAACAAACAAGTTGTATAATAAACATAACAATCTACTGTAGATATTTCAATACTAAACTGAATATATAATTAAGAACCATCCAACACTAGAAGGAACCTACGATCAAAAGTAGAAGACTCAACAGAGTAAAGAGTATCAAGGAAAAGAATAAAAATACAGAAGGCTTCAGAACTATAGGTGATGTTACATTGTGAATATTATATTCATTAAAATTAATAAATTTTGATTCTCAAGATAACTGAATGTAGATGCCTAGAAATTCTCTCTTCATCTTCAAAGCAACAAGTGTAAAGCTGCCCTGTGCGGGAGTGACCTTTGGACAACACTGGAAATCGAGAGAGATAAGAATATCCTAAGATCATAAAGCTTGGACAAGAGCATAGAAAGATGAAATACCCCACATCAGCCGCCTTAGCTCTATAAATGGGGTAGTGTAAGTCTTGGGGTGAAAGAAAGTCCCGACTCTTTAGGTGTATGTAGTGAGACTCAGGAATGAATGTAGAGCCTTCACAGTGGTAACAAAAATTTCCAGTGTTTCATCCCCTACCTTTCTCTTCCTTTCTCCCTTTCTCTCCCTTTCTCTCTCTTTCTTTCTCTTTTTCTTTCTTTCTCTCTTTCTTTCTTTCTCTTTTTCTTTCTTTCTCTCTTTCTCTCTCTTTCTTTCTTTCTTTCTTTCTTTCTTTCTTTCTTTCTTTCTTTCTTTCTTTCTTTCTTTCTTTCTCTCTTTCTTTCTTTCTTTCTTTCTTTCTCTCCCTACACCCCTCCCTCTTTGCCTTCTTATTTTCTACAGGATTTTGTTAAGTTCATTAATTGTCAAGTCTGGGCTCTCGCTCTGAGCTCCTTGCCTCAGGCTCCCAGGGTACTAGGATTACAGGTTTGTGTCACCAAATCCAGCTCTAGAAAACTCTCAGTGTAACTGAGAGGACAAAATGGATCCTTAAAAGTTAGAGTATCTTTTTCTTTTAGAAATAAACTGCTTCTTCAAGCTTCTTCCCGCCAAGGATGTAACCTCTTCACCTCCTTAGCCCAGATAAGCCCCAAGAGGTTGGTGTCCACTCTCATTTCCACAGAGAAGGAAGAGACTGGAAAATGGCCAGAGGATGAAACACTGGAAATTTTTGTTATCTAGTGTGCCATTTTATTCCCTATCTCTTCTCTCCCCTATGGTAAAGTACCCTTGCACACCTGAACATGGTGGGGTGGTGACTCAAGACAGTAACCGGCCCTCCATCTTGTCAAAACTAGCTTTGACTGAAGCCTTTCTCTCCTTTTCACATGGCCTCTTGTTGTGTAGGGGGTATGTGGAGGGCCAGGGGTATGAACCTAAGCTACCAGTAACATTGTCAGCGCAGATGCTGGCAACCCTAGCTACTGGTACGTTTCAAAATCCTCAGACTGGCAGCCCAGAAAAGTAATTGGAGGGTGCACAGTACCCTAGCTTTGGAAGAGGTTCTCATATCATGTCTCAGCAGACCTTCAGGGTGCAGCAGCCAGAAACCATCTTGAGAAAGAAGCTACTATGGTCTGCAGCTGTTCTCTAGAGTTCAGAAATTCCTACGTAGTCCTGTTGCTGGGACTGCAGCGCGCCGGTGTATAGAAGCTTCCCTGTGAATCCAACTTGGCCCAGCAAAGTGTTTGACTGCCTGCTAAGTGCCCCACACTGAAAAAGACTGTTATGGCAACACTGAGAGGAATGAGGGATTTTGCACCTGAAAATCAGATCGGTTCACTTGTCCTCTGAGTCCAAGGGCATGGTTAGCATTTGAAGCGGTCCCCTCTCCAGGGTTAAGGGCATGCACCCAGGTGGTGCCTTCCATTCTTGTCCCCTCTATAATAGTCAGGCTATTGTTGCTGAGAAGGCCAGGCAGGAACGCCACAGTTCTTGGTAATGCCCCAACCCAAGGGTCAGGCTGAAGGGTCCTTGAACATCTCCGTGGCCCTGGCTTGTCAGCCTGATACTGGACCTAGAGCAGTTTAACCTGGCTCCATGTCCTCTTCCATTCCCTCCTGAGCAGACACTACAGTTGAAGAATTGTGGTGGAGAAAACCCTCACGGTTGCTTTGTCTTCTAGTGTGCACAGCCAAAGAAGTGAGATGTCACTGGGCTGCAGTCAGTACAGGTGTTATTACTGAAGCTGCAAAGCAGCACAGGATGATTCTGCTGCTGCCTCTTTTACATACGTCCTGCTCTCCCGCTCCTGCACCTGGTCGGAGCGTGATCAACAATCTGGACTGAATACAAGTGGCCCAGGAAGTCGCTGTGTTTACTGCTACTGACTGCCAATGTCTGGATCCTTTACCATCACATATTATAGTAAATATATAAAAAGGAACAAGATAAAGATATTTAAATTCTGTAAAGTAGATGTGTCAAGTCACACTTAAGGTCAGCCCAATTTGACTAATCGATTTCTCAGAAGCAATCCTGTAGAATGGGGAAATGGAATGAAGTATTCCAAGTCCTAAACAAAACTGCCACTCAGGATTGCTATATCCAGCAAAGAGTTCCTTCAGATTAAGGAAAAAGGCCTTCCAAGGTAAGCAAATACTGATGGAATCTGTGGCCACCAGACCAGCCTTATGAAACATACTTAAGTGGGTCCTACTACTTGAAGTTAAAGAAAGATAACTGGCACTTTGAAAGCATATAATAATATAAATTCCAGATGAGTAGCTATATTAAAAAAGAAATAGAACAGTGCAAACATTATCATTACAATAAACTCTCAGACTACAAAGATGAACAAGAGAAGGAAAAGGAAGAATAAGTATTAAAAACCAGAAAAATAGGAACAAATGATAGAAATAAGTGCTTGTTAGTATTAATATTAAATAGAAACAAACCAAATTCTCCATTTAAAAGATATAGGTTGTCTGAATGGAGAAAATCCCTAACCGAAAAATACACTGCTTGTAACTGATCTTATGCATAAAGATATACAGATTGAAGGTATAGAGTTTGAAAATTCCAAACAAATTAAAACTTAGGATAAGCAGGAATATATATATATATATATATATATATATATATATATATATTTGAAAATATAAAATTTAAAATAAAATTATCCCAACAGACAAAAATTGATACTTAAAATTGATTTAAGTATCAATTGAACAAGAATATAAAATGATTGTAAATCTATATGCACCTAATGT